ATGGACAGAAAGATGTATGTGGCTGCAATTAGATAAACAACTAAATTTTTTACTTTAAAAAGTGAGATGAGTTCCTGAGACTATAAGTGGATTTGTTATTTTACAAGATAGTGTTACGTGTCTCCAAGCTAAACTAACATGGATATAATGCATCTGAGAACCGTCAAATGGGAAGGCAGGAAGGGAAAGACAAAGGATTCTTGAAAAATCTCAATATTTCTAACTGTATAATTTGTGCTGTCAGTTTCAGGTTAATCTTTTCCAGAAAACCCTCTTCCCAGCCACAGAAGTGTGCTCAGGGTCACTGAGATTCAAGTTACTGACCACGGCTGCCAAGGCATTTGGGATTGTGTATTCTCATCTTTCTTTTTTTTTTTTCTTTTAAAGGAACTAGTTATAATGGAGAAATCTGTGGATCAAATGCCCACAAAAGCTATTCTAACAGTAAATTCTTTCTTTTCTTTCTGTTCATATTTTCTTTATTATTTAGGGGGCAGCAATACAATCATAACGTGATCAAAACTATTTTCTTTCAAGTTTATCTACTAAACATTTCTATATAATATTCATTGAAATATAGATGAAAGTTATGACTGAGTCATTTTTTCAATTTTATTGGCAATTATCTATTCATGAAAATAACAAAGAGTATCTGCAAAAAACTGTTCCCATTCAGGTGAATTTAGAGATGTAAGCAAATGGCTTTTTTCTCTTAATTCACTAAAAGCAATTTTAAAGAGCTATATTTTTAATATATAATGAAATAATATCTGAATAATATATCTGTGAATAATATCTATGAATAATGAAATCATCTAACAATGATTAGTTCAGTGCCTCCACAGACTTCAAAAGCCAGCATTTTATCTAACTTTTAGAATTATGTTTCTATATCTACCTTCTCCAACAGACTACACATTTGTTAAGAGTTTTCTCCAGTCCACTGCCCAGAGCCCAGTTCAGAGCCTGGCACACAGGAAACAGTCCTGTGCTGCTGCTCGTCACCGTGAGCCCATGTCCAGGACGGTGGTCCCCCTCAGAATGGGACTGAAGAGTCCCTGCCCCCGGTCCTGGCACAGCCCTTGTAAAGCTGCAGCACAAAGCAAGGTGGCTCACACCTGTAATCCTAGCACTCTGGGAAGTGGAGGTGGATGGATTGCCTGAGCTCAAGGGTTCATGACCAGACTGACCTAAAACTATCCAGGTGTTGTGGTGGGCACCTATATTCCCAGCTACTTGGGAGGCTGAGGCAATAGAATTGCTTGAGCCCAAGAGTTTGAGGGTGACAAAATGAGATTCTACCTCAAAACCCCCCACCAAAAACAAAAAAACATTTTTTTTAGAGATGGCAATATGCTATATAGGCTGCCCTCAAACTCTTGGGCTCAAGCAATCTTCCTGCCTCAGTCTCCCAAGTAGCTGGGCCTATAGGTGCCCACCATTGCACCCATCTGTACTAGACTTATCACTGTACTCCTATCATTAAAAA